CGATGAGCAGGGCTGTGATTCAAGGGCACCGACCAACAATAACAGCAATCTCAAAGTCATGTCTGTAACGCCTAGGATCTAACTATGCACACACGACTATTTCCAGAAAACCAGATCGAGGCGGGAAATAACCACCCCCTACATCTGTTCAAAAGCAGATGGCCGCGAGAACGTCAGACTCTGCCCCTGACGCTTCTTGAATGGACCCAAATATACTCCAGGGACCCAAGGCCTCGGGACGCTGCTGTCCTGTCTCCTCCTCGGTGAGGTGGAAATGGTCCCTGACAATCAGGAGTCTAAGGCTTCAAGACACTGTGTGTGGTCCCTCTCCCCCTCTGTAATGACAAACTGAGGGAATGCTAACAACCACATTCCCGGAGAGGACCGGAGAGAGGCCTGTCGATGGAATGTGAAGCAGAAGGCCACCCTCAAGCTGCTTCCACGGAACTCTTCTTGCTCTGGGACCAACTCCTGTGTCTTTTGGAACTATCTTTTAGGATGTTTGTCCTGATGTCTCAGAACTGCACTGTGGACACCCTGTTAGTTTTAGAAACCAGCACGGATGGAGAAATGACTGAGGTGCCACCAATCTCTCCAGTGCCAGGGGAGATGGCATCACATAGGTCCCCACGGTGGGGACTACCTCATTAAGCACTTAACTCTGAGACTCCTGGGAGCAGATGCTCAAGCTACCCCCAGGTCACGAGAGCCAGAGCCATCCTAGGGGGGATGCTGGTGGTTGCCTGGAAGACGGAAGTCCCCCACAGCAAACAGCCAGTCCCTTTCCTACTAAGTACGGCATCTTCACCTAGCTCCCAGCGCAGTACGCTGTACGGAGAGAGTGGGGGGCTGCCTTAGGGTTAACCCTGCGGTTGCTTCCAGAGAACTCAAAAACCTCCCTGCCATCGAGTGGATGCCGACTCACAGCGACCCTAGAGGGCAGGGCAGAACAGTCCCCGTAAGTTGCCGAGACTGTAACTCTTTCCCGAAGTAGAAGGCCCTGTCTTTCTCCTGCAGAGTGGCTGGTGGTTTTGAACTGCTGACCTTGTGTTCGCAGCCCAGTGTGTTACCACTAGGCCATCAGGGCTCCCTGTTGTTTCCAGAGGGTTTCTCTAATTATGAGCACACAGTGAGTGTCTCACACCGACTCTGCCCCTTCAGCAGGGGCTGGGTAGAAGAGACCTTGTCACATGGAGGCTACTTCACCAGGCTGCCCACTCTGTGAGGTCCGTCCCTCCCTCACCCATCCACATGACCAGCAGCAAGGCTGGAAGGAAGGCTCTTCTTTTCCAGAGCCTCGTGGGGGTGCAAGCTGGGGGACAGGAGGGGATGGGAGTCCCAAATTCCGGTTCTGCCCCTGCCTCTTCCTGACTTGGTGGCCCTGTGCAGAGCACTTTACTTTCTTGCCTTAAACTTTCTCATTGGTAAACTGGCATTAGTCTCGTCTGTTCTTATTAATAATCCCCAAAGATCATGAGTGAGACTCCTATACACGCTGATATGGATAACGGTCATTTTCACCATCCCTGTTGGAGAGCCACCATCACGACCGTCTTGACAGTTCACAAGGAGCTCGAGGGCCCAGGATAGCAGAACCAGCAAGGATGCTGGGGTTCCAGTCTGAGAACTGATACCAACGCAGTCACAGGTCCCTATGAAAGTCAGGTGAACCCCTCTAGGCTTCAACGTGAGGAGCCCTGGTAATGCGGCAGGTCACACATGGGGCTGCTAACCACATGTCAGCAGTTTGAACCCACCAGCGTCTTCGCAGGAAAAAGAGAAAGCTTTCTCCTCCCATAAAGATTGAGTCTCGGAAACTCACAGTTCTACTCGGAAACCGACCAGGTTGCTGTGAGTCAGAACATACTCAGTGGTAGTGACGTTGTTCTTGTCTGTTTTGAGTTTGTGCTTCAACTGGTGGTGGAATGGGTTATACACTGGGCTGCTGATTGAAAGGGCAGCAGTTCAAAGCCACCGGCGGTTCCACAGGAGGAAGATGAGGTTTTCTGCTCTCGTGAAGGTTTATAGCCTCAGAAATCCACAAGGGATGTTCTTACCTGTCCTATGAGCTCACCAAGTGGACATCAGCTTGATGGCAGTGAGTCGAACGATGTTTCAACTCTCCTCTGCCAGGATAAAGGTAGTATCTCTGTTATGGGGCTTGTTAGGACTCAAAGTTAACACGCAGGGAAAATTTAGACTAGGACTGACACACAGCAAGCATCATACAATTAACGGCTGTTATTTTTCTACACATTGTTCTTCATTCAATTAACAGTTGGTTATCTAGTGCTATACGTAGATTCTTTTCGACACATACAAATTAGGAGTTCATGAATCTTGTCACCCAGTCTATCCTGTTTCTTTTTCTCTCACATATGTTACGTGCTTGAGATTTGGGGATGGAAAAAGTTGTGAGTACAGGGGCAGTGACTTATTCAAGGTGGCTCTTCGAGCCAAAGTCTGCAACTCCCACCAAATGACCTTTCCCTGCATGGGTCTGGTAAAAAGGTAGGGGAAGATACTTATTGATGGGATTCACCTGTGAGTATTTCCAACTAGATTCTTTGGAATACCATCCTGCTGTGTATGAAAGGGGCCCTCTGAGAAGCAGGAGGAAGGATCTTATTACCAGTAAGAGCCAGGTATGGGGTGCATCTGCTGGACCTGAGAGCCTTGCACAGTGAAGCTCCTGGATCCAGAAGACAGCTACACTATCAGACAAGCAGCGGCAGAACCAGGAGCCAGAGTGTTTTCTGCAGGAGGCTGGCTTGCAGAGCGGGGTGCCTCTGGGCACTTCATTCAGGGAGCTAGGTTTGCTGACCCACAGAGCTTAAGCTCTCCTGGTAAACAACTACCCCGAGCATTTCTCACTGGCATTACAAATTGTTACAACCTCCTTAATAAACGCTTTAAGTGTGAATCTTGTCTGTGAGTTTCTGTGTAGCCACTGCAATGGATATTAGAAACTAGGACAGTAAAATCGTGGACACCAATTAAGACAGAGCACCGAGAAACATAAATTATCGTAAACATGAACCAAGCCAATAATTACTTATCAAAACCCAAACTCATTGCCAGAGTCGATTCCAACTCACAGTGACCCGCTAGGACAGATTAGAGCTGCTCTTGTGGACTTGAGGCTGAAAAGCCTCATCTTTCTCCTGCAGAGCCCTTGATGAGTTTGAACTGCTGACCTAGAGGTGACCAGTCAACTCATAACTCAGTACACCACCAGGGCTCCTCAGTAACCACTACTCCGGGGTTTCTCCTTATGACTATGGGAATTTGAAGGACGTGGCAACCGCTATCTTTTTTAAAAAGTCTTTGTCAAGCCAAGGGCCAGGACAAGCAACCTGGCTGTTGCCCGCCCTGTGACACAGCAGCAGGGAGGCTCTGAGGGGGAGGTCCTTGTCCACTTCTCTGGACTCTGGCCCACTTGGTTCCGTGGGATCCAGAGGACTGACCCTCTGGTGCTGACTCCCAAAGCCCAGGCTCTCGTGCTCCCCTCCCTGGTGCCGACCAAGGCCGCACTGGAGCCTAGGAGTCACATCTCCCTAGAAGGGAACCCCGTGGGAGTGGGGCTGGGGGGGCCCTCTGGGAGGGTGGGGGGTCCTCTGGACGGCTCTCCGCAGGTCACCAAGAGAAGAGAAGGAGCTTTCTGAGCCAGCCGTCATCACCTGAACATGTCCATGCACCCTCTCCCCAGGTCCCTTTCCACTCTAGGATGCTGTCTTTGGTTTGCAATGGGAGCATTAAGAAGGCCTCTAGGGGCTGGGCAGGTACCTCATTTAGTCTTCCACAGAAGGCGCCTGCAGAGGATACCTGGGCCACCCTTGGCAGCCACAGTATGACACCAAGACAGAGGATTTGTCCTAGGCAGATGGCTCTCGGCTGGAAGGATCCACTTCTACTAGTAAAAATCTCTCGAAAGGAGTACAGTGTGTGCCTCCTCCCGTCCTCTGCCGGCTCCCATCTCACTTCCCTCTCCCGTGGACTTGGGCTATCCAGTCCATTCTGACGGTGACAGTGGCAGAGCAGGCCTGGGCCGGACCGTTCTCGCGATGGGGCTGTGGAGTGGGTTTGAACAGCCAGCCTTTTGGGTAGCAGCCAAACACAAACCACGTGTGCCAACCGGGGATCGTCCTCAGACAGAGGCTCAAACAGCTCCTCCCTGGCTCTTCAGTCACAGAGAAGAGGGCGAAGGCAGGACCGAAGAAGGAAGGGGAAAGGGTTTAAACATGCGTTAAGCATGGCGGGGTGGGGTGGGGGAGGGGAGGGCGCACAGGAAGAGCAGCAGAGCCTGCCTGAAAGGGAGGAGCTGCATCCAGGAGCACCCACAGGCCCTTCTCTGCCCCACGGGTCCTCTGGTTTCACTGGGAACTCTGGTGGAAGGATGAGGGGGTGTTTTACATGGATGAAACACATCTCCAATTAAGATAGAATCTCAGCCCGTAGCTTCCATAACCAAAACACCACAACCCAGCCATGAAACCAAATGCACATTTCATGTTTTGACTCTGTCTCCTTGTCATGCTCCTGTGAATGTGGAGGCTCCTCAAAGTGTGGGGGTGAGAAACAGAGGACCTCAGGGGGGCACAGCAACCCCACCCCGGCGTCATCACTGGGCTCCTCAATCTGGGCATTCAAAAAACCTTAGGGCTCCCCTGGCTGAGCCCTCTGGCTCTAAGAGGCCCCAGTGACTGGGAGTCCATTACCACCCAAGGCAACCCGATCCATTTTTGTACAGCTTCGATTATTAGAAATTTGTTCCTTTCACTCGGGGCCTTATAATGGCCTTAGCTCTGCTCTCTGAAGCAGAATCAGTATAAGCGGTCATTTTCGATGGCTGTCTTCCCAAGACAGTCTGTAAATACAAACCACAGTCCCTCTGGCCTCTCTTCCCTGTGCTGCTGTTACTGGACTTTTACACCATTGGCAATCGTTCACAGAAAACGTTTAAAACACCTGACTAGAGGTGGCCATTTGCTGGTCCTTACCGATTCAGGAAAGCATTTCCAAAACGACTCAGTTTTCGGAATGGCTTCTTGGGGTCCACAACCAGAGCATTTCCTGGGGTGCTGCCCTCTGACTCGCCATACATCACGGCGATGAAGGAGTCAGTGGTGGGCTCCGGGCCGATCCGCATGCCTGGGAAGTCTTGCTCCAGCAGGTACCTGGCGGAGGCAAAAGCGAAGGCAGGTGAAACGTCACCATGCTGTCCTGCGTGACCAGCGCTGACCCCCTGGACTCACGAATATAACAGGGGAGCCTGCCTCAGGTAGGGAGCAACGCCTGCCCGTTCACTCTTGCAAATAAAGAAACCCATGGATCTTGAGCCTTCTAAAGAGCGGACCTCTTCACAGCATGGCTGTGCAGAGCAGGGGCCAACCCCACAGAGGCATGCCCAGTCAGCTCTCTACCCCCACCCCCCCCAAAAACCTCTGGAGAGGCTTGTCCTGATCTGCCCCTCCAGCGTGTTGGGGGCACCCTTGCCCTGCTTTCAGGATACTCCATGCTCACCGAGTGGCTTAAACGTTCTCTGCCGTGGGTGCTTACAGCACGCACCATGTCTGAGGTCCACAAGTACATCCCCAGCTCTCAGCGCTGTGTCTGCCCACGGAGGCCACTCAAGGCCCAGAGACTTAAATAATAGACAATTGCCTTCCTTGTCACTGGCAATCAATGATGCCAACACATCCTCCCTTGTTCGTCCCGCAGCTCCCCTGGGCCCCCGAAAAGTCATGACCACAGAAAAAGGTCTCCAAAGATATCAGGCGGCTGCTCTCGGGGGTCAGCGTGAAGGGGAGGGTCAGATTAGCTACCAGCAGGACCACGGCTAACTGTTAGACTGTGTAAATCAGAAAGAGATGCCCCTTCCTCTGGGCAGCCCCAGTCCCGCACCAGCTCCACAACTGAACATGAACCCTCACGAAGCATAGAGCCTGCGTGACTACCGTCCGCTGGAGCGTGGGGTTCTTAGTCAGGGGCTGGGAGAACCAGTTGACACAATGTGCGCACAGGAGACAGCTGGATGAGGCAAGTCTGCTTTCCATCACCGAAGCCATTCACAGGCCTTCCCTCCCCCACCATGTCCCTTGCCGATGCTGCGATGGTTGTCTGCTACAGAGCAGGCTGTGACTCACGAAACTGAACAAGGCCTGGTCCTGGTTCATGATCATTGACTGGTCGGTCTGAGTCCACTACTGTGGCTATTTTTTCCATCCCCCCCACCGGGCGAGGTGCTCCCTCATGCTCACCGACCCTCCACTTCATTAGCACCGTACCCTTCTCTAGCCGGCGGTCTTTCCTGAGGATGTGTCCACAGCAGGTGAGCCGGGGGCTCGCCACCTGGCTTCTAAAGAGCATCCTAGGATCTAGGGACACACGTAGCTGATGATGCACACATGCAATGAGGAGGGGACCAACGGAAACACGAAGACAGGGAAGCAAAACACAGCACCTTCCCAGAACATGCAACAGAGTTGGCGACCAGGTACAGAGTGATGAGAATCCCTGTTTGGGTGATCTGGACAGAGCCCTGTCCCAGGCCTGTCAGGGAGATGGTCCCTCGCCCTATGAAGGTGCTCAAGAGAAGAAACCTATACCATCCATGTGGTAAAAAAGGATTTCTTTGCCTAACAAGCCCTTGACGCTCAAATGTAAGCCCAGAACGTGTGCTATATGTCTAGGAGCAAATGTTACCAAATGTTAGACAAGAACGTGCCTTCCTGTCTGGGCTCCCTCATCCCTCCATCACGGATCTTCTTGCCTAGACTCGTCTCTTTCAGGCCTCACTGGCCAGCGTTTCCTTTGTCTGGCAGAAGATTTAAGCCCCATGATCTCTACCCTCTATCACACCCATTCTCTAAGTCACTTTACACGCCCCTCCTGGGAGCCCTCTCTGCTGTGCTCACTCCCCAATGACCCAGGCAGGCAGCAGAGGTGTGGGCCTGTTTCCACTCTGATGGGTTCTCAGTTCCCGGAAGGCATGACCCACACACTTAAAACTTTAGAATTTTAGGGATTGCTTGATTTAACACCAATCAGCAACAGAGGAAGAAAAGGAAGATTCGAGCAGGAAGGTGACTTGTCGCTGGTCAAGCTTGCTGGCTACTGCACTGTACGTGGAACCTGGCAGCTCCTCCCTCCTGGTCAAAGGCTCATCCTAGGTTGAGTCCCCTGATTTCCTGGCCCACAGAACCTCCTTGTTACCTGTTATCAGCTGCCATGAGCCGGCCACAATCAAGGCATCTTACACACAACAGAAATGGTGCCCAGCTCTGTGCCAGACCGCAAGTGGCAGGTGGAACTGCTGTGATCCATAGAGTGTGTATGTGCGTGTGTGAGACACATGTGCAGTTCAGTGACATCAATTATGCTCATCTGCTTGTTCGACCATCAACTTACTTTATCCATTCCCAAACTGGACCATCCCCCCTTACGTCAGGGTTTTCCTGGGTTGGTTTTTGGAACCGCAGATTTCATGGCCTTTCTTCCTGGTCTGTCTTAGGGTGAAATCTGTTCAGCATCATAACATGCCAACCTCCAAGGGCAGATGGGTGGTGGCTGTGTATGAAATTGAATTCATTAGCTTGACATGAACCCGAGCCTCCTGCATGGGAAGTAAGACTTTTTCTCACTAAGACACCAATAAATACTCTCATGACTTTCAGAGGGACCTGTGAAGTGCAGGTCCTACACACACTACTACACACTCTTATGTGCACATGGCCCAGGGGGGAGATTCTACCCGGATCAGGGCCAAAACGCTCCTACATTCCTGCTACCCTGCTAGGCAGGCTGGCACATCTGATGCAGCCAGGGGACCTAGGACAACCAGGAAAACACAGCACCCAGAGGCTGTGTGTACCAGCAGAGCCTGAAGCTGCCACACATCAGCATGCACAACGTGACCCATCGGGCTAAATCTTGGGCTTTTCACCACCACAGAGGCTCTCCGAGGCACAAGCTGCGTGCAATCTTCTGTGTGATCTGCAGGAGCACGAATTCCAAGGAACCAGAGGCCCCAGGAAGACAAGGGAAGAATCCAATTAGCTCACTGCACCGCATCTTGTGTGTGGAAGACTTGATTCTGGCCTTGGCCCTACCTGGCCCCCCTTTTCCTGTGTTCGCAGAGAGGCCTGCCAACACTTGTGCTGATTACTCCAGGAGTCCAGAGCCAAGGCAACCACATAAAAAAAGGTCCCAGATGCTTCGGTTCCCAGCATCTGGGGGAAGGGGTGGGGGGTGACCTGACATCTCAGAGACCTCTCTAACAAGCCTCATGGCACATTGGCTACCAAGCTCTGCCTACGCCCTGCCTTTAAAATATATATCTATTTATTTATATACTTAAATTTATATATATGTTTAAATTTATTTTGCTTTTGAGAATATACAAAGCGAAACACATCAATTCAACAGTGTCTGTAGGCCTAATCCAGTGACACTGATTACAGCCTATACAAGTCTACAACTCCCTTTCTGAGTTGTCCCCCCTCCATTCACACAAACTCACGGCCCACGAAGGCTCCCATCAAGTCTTTCGAGTTGCTGGGGCCAAGGAGCTGAGCAGCTTTGACACAGGGTGTATGTGGGCAATGCTTTTCCCTTTCATTGCTTAGGCTACACAATGTTAGTTTTTCTTAACTTCAGGGGAAAAAATATCACCTGTGACAAGGAGAAGAAAAAAAATCTCAAGATAATGGAAAACAAGCCAGGCCCCATCTCAAAGATGAGCTTAAGGATGACTAAAGCCATGTTCCCGGCACACACTTGGCCTCCCGGGCACTCATCTATACCAGTGTTTCCCAAAGTAGGTGACACCACCCCTGGGGGGCGCTGGAACAATTCAGGAGGGGGGGGGGGGGGAAGGTCCTGCAAAGTGGATACCTACACTTTGTCCTGGGTTATGAGTTAGAGTACCAACATCATGAATTGCCTGGCCGGGGGGAAGTGGGGGGGCGGCATGAGTAATTTTTTTTCTCTGAAAAGGGGGCGGAATGAAGATCCTCTTATAGAGGGGTCTTGGGGAGGAGACAAGCCAGACAGCGTGCAATGTAGCAACAATGAAAATTACAACTTTCCGAGCAGGGAGGCAAAGTGCATTTATAGAGGTCTAGATAAAGACATGTACATATGCAAATATATTTATATGAGGATGGGGAAATAGATCTATGTGCCTATATTTATAGGTTTAGT